CATGAGATATAGATGAAAATATGAAAACACCTTTATTTATTCCAAGAGGTATATGTAAATAATTGAAAAGTTTAAACGGGGGTCGTTAAAAGAGCACACGTCTCAATAGAGCCATATTTCTTCGGCCTCAGAGGAAAAAAAAAAACAGTGATTAGATAACGAAAATACATTCATTTATTCCAAGAGGTACAAACCTAAGCAGTGGTGTTCACCTCCCTGAAGTAATTACGATAGTCGAATAAATACACACAAACACACGCACACAAAAAAAAAAAAAACAAAACACACACATATGTATGTATATATAGATAGATATTGTTAAACATAATAAAGATTCTATTATATATGACGTGTTCGGCGGGGGAGGGACGTATTCAACATTTCATAATTTTGCGGCAATACGCGCTTAAAGGTTTTAGATTTGAATCAACATTTCTTTTCATGGTTAGCCGTAAGGAATTGTAAATGTAGAACTATTTACACTTAAGTAATATAATAACAATAATAATATTTATTAAGAATTTATTACAGGAAAAATCAAGTTTTACAGAAACATTTTTGACAATTATGTATTTAGTTACATAACAAATAAATAAATATAATATAAATTTTTGTACTATATTCGATTTGTTGTTAGGTATTTTTTCATTTTCTTCTTTGTTATTGGCAGTATTTTAGAATACTTTGGTTGCAATGCTAAGTTTCTTTAGTTGAACAAAAAACTGGAGGTATTTCGTTTACGCTTTGTTACCTCTCTTTTCCATTGTTGTTTTTAGATCGCTTTCTTTCAGTCATTTTGATGAGCAATAGCGAAATTCTGAAATTTAGAATGATCTTATTCCATTTTAAAATTAAATCCTGTAAAAAGGAATATTTTAAATTAATATACGACCAAAAATAAAATGCTTTTCACAAGCTATACTATAATTCTGTAAGAATAATGTAATGATATTCCGCAGACAAATCTACGTTTTATGTTATCTCATCTCATTCCAGGGTTACGAACTATGCACTTAAATTGAGCTTGAAATATTGGGGAATCGGTTCTAATTTTTTTGTAAAATATTTGGATATGACATAATGAATAATTTGCAGTGAAAAAAGAAATTTTTGATTTTTTGTTGAATACGCCTCACCTCCTCCGAACGCATCATATAATTTTTTTTTCTCTAATGTAAGAATACGCTTTCGGAAGTGTGCTTGTTTTGTCGGGGTAACTTAGCCAAAATTCATGTTGTTAAGCAACGTTGAGTCTGGTCAGTACTAAGATGGGTGACTGATTGGAAATAGCAGGTGCTGTAAGTTTGGATGTGCTGATAGTGTAATGGATAATAGCTCCAATTCCCTTTGTGTTCGGTACGCTCAAATATCCTTGGGAAAGACATGAATCCACCTCTTCTCCCTCCAACTATAGGTTAATTAGTAAAACCTGTGTTCCTGAATTATTATCGCCCCCCCCCCTCAAAAAATTCTTGAAGTCTAAAACATATTTTCTGGCTTTAAATAACCTGCAAAGGGTTGGTAACCCATAAAAAAACTGATCAATCAATCGACTTTTTAAAAAATCATTTCACCCCAAGAAAGACGAAAATGCTTTTCCACTTCATGTCAACCGAGAATATTACCTCGAAAAGGCACAGACAATCACTTTAATCTTGGAGGTTAGAATCAGCCATACTGATTGAATACAAAAAGAAGTCTCTCGGATGACGAATAGCGGTTTCATTTTGGAAGCGTTAAAATTAACAAGCCATTGTTAACAACGGATTATAAGTCATTTTTTTTTTTTTAGATCAGTCGCCAATTTGACCGTATCGATCTGATGAGGTTTACTATCGAGACACGAGTAAATGGTTGTCTCATCAGGATAATCAGAAAGAGGTTTCAGTAAAGAAAAAATATGCATCAAAATATTTCGGTGGAAAAAAAGGCAAAATTTTTCTTCGTAATTTGCTGAAAAAGAAGCAAAACGTTGTTTGTTTACAGGCGAAAAAGTGGAACTAAAAAGAAAGAATAAATCTAAAGGGAGGGGCGGGAAATTTGTTTACTGTCAAAGAAATTTTTTTTTTCTTTTAAAAATGGAATCAGATGTTAGAAATGAAGTCTACGTCTGTTTAACATCAAAACTCACTAAGATGTGTGCTTTCACTGTGTCGAATGAAACACTTGGCTCCGCCGGTAGAGATGTTGGTGGTTAAAGATGGCCAGTTGAAGTGGATTGAACAATAAGTTAGGGATTCTATTTAATACACGATGCCATCGGAATTTGTGCAATGCCAACAACAAAAGAGATATTAAGAGGCTGAGATAGATAGATAGATAGATAGATATGAAGAGGCTGAAACAGATATATATATATATATATATATATATATATATATATATATATATATAGATAGATAGATAGATAGATAGATAGATAGATATGAAGAGGCTGACACAGATAGATAGATAGATAGATAGATAGATAGATAGATAGATAGATAGATAGACAGCTACGAAGAGACTGAAACAGATAGATAAATAGATACAGACAGACAGATATATATATATGAAAAAACTGAAACAGATAGAGAGCTAGATAGCTACGAAGAGACTGAAACAGATATATAGATAGACAGATAGACAGACAGACAGACAGACAGATAGATAGATAGATAGATAGATAGATAGATAGATAGATAGATAGATATGAAAAAACTGAAACAGATAGAGAGCTAGATAGCTACGAAGAGACTGAAACAGCTAGATAGATAGATAGATAGATAGATAGATAGATAGATAGATAGATAGATAGATATGAAAACTGAAACAGATAGATAGAGAGCTAGATAGCTACGAAGAGACTGAAACAGATAGATAGATAGATAGATAGATAGATATGAAGAAACTGAAACAGATAGATAGATAGATAGATAGATAGATATGTAGAAACTGAAACAGATAGATAGATATGAAGAAACTGAAACAGATAGATAGATATGAAGAGATTGAGATAGATAGATAGATAGATAGAAACTGAAACAGATAGATAGATAGATAGATAGATAGAAACTGAAACAGATAGATAGATAGATATAACGAATTGATGGCAGATAAATAAATGGATATATGAACTGAATAATGTATAACTATGTACAGCAGAAAGTTTCATTTGATTTAAATGACGCAAAATGGAAAATAACACTGACATCTCATTTTAATAGATATATTACACAAAATTACACAAAAAATATCTTGAAATACTAAAGGGTAAATTTCTTTAATAAAATCGCCATTGATTTCAACCCCGGCCTCCTGACGATTTCGCAATCTCTTGCGGTTCTTCTGGACTCTCTCCTTGTTTAAGTTGGTGAATGCTGCCGTAATTTTTTTGCTTTCAGTTCATTTTTTGTGTTACAAGGAGTTTTGCTGGTCTCCCGCTTAGCTGTGCCCCACACATAATAATCAAGGGCGTTGCAGTCTGGTGTGTTAGTCCAGGTGTAAGGGGGGGGTGATCGCAGAAATTGTCTGACAGCCATGACTGGGTTCTCCTGCTTGTGTGGCATGGTGCAGCATCCTGCTGCCAGACATAGGGTCTTCTATCAGGCACTCTTTTGACTCAGGACAGCACTACCACCTCAGGGCACTTGATGTGGGCTTCAGAGTTCAGTCTGGGAGCCTGAGGGAAGATGACCGGAGGCATAACGTCGCCATTACTAGTGATCGCACCAAACACCATCCAACTCTTTCCGAATTCTCTGCGCTGTCCTCAGATTGACACCCAAACACTAAGAAATGTTCGTATAGGAGCTTCCGGTGCGAATGCCAAGCAGTATAGCACGCAGTTTACAAATAAGTGTCTGGTGACGTGAATTGAATCATGATGCTCTTTTTCTAACAAACAGTGCCCAACTGACTCTGCTATATTATGCAGTCGAAAATAATAATAATAATAATGAAACAAAACAAAGCGAATGAATGAAAACCAAATAATAAAATGGCGACAATTTACCCATCGCATCCTGTATACATACATAACCATTAATTTCTCATATCTATCTATCTATCTATCTATCTATCTATCTATCTATCTATCTATCTATCTATCTAAGTCTGTTTTTATCTATCTATCTATCTATCTTAACTTTATTCTATCTATCTATCTATCTATCTATCTATCTATCTATCTATCTATCTATCTATCTATCGCAACCTTATTCTATCTATCTATCTATCTAAGTCTGTTTTTATCTATCTATCTATCTATCTATCTATCTATCTATCTATCTATCTATCTATCTATCTATCTATCTCAGCCTTATTCCATCTATCTATCTATCTATCTATCTATCTATCTATCTATCTATCTATCTATCTCAACCTTATTCTATCTATCTATCTATCTATCTATCTATCTATCTATCTATCTCAACTTTATTCTGTCTATCTATCTATCTATCTATCTATCTATCTATCTATCTATCGCAACCTTATTCTATCTATCTATCTATCTATCTATCTATCTATCTATCTATCTATCTATCTATCTATCTAAGTCTGTTTTTATCTATCTATCTATCTATCTATCTATCTATCTATCTTAACCTTATTCTATCTATCTATCTATCTATCTATCTATCTATCTATCTATCTATCTATCTATCTATTAGTTTGTTCATATCTATGAATCTGTATATCTGTGCATCTATATATAATAAGATATAAACAAATTGAGATACATAGATAGGAACGGCACAGACAAAAAGGCATGAACAGAGAAACAGATAGATAGATAGATAGACATGATTTCTTCCATAGATAGATAGATAGATAGATATGATTTCTTCCATAGATAGATCGATAGATAGATAGACATGATTTCTTCCATAGATAGATAGATAGATATGATTTCTTCCATAGATAGATCGATAGATAGATAGACATGATTTCTTCCATAGATAGATAGATAGATAGATAGATAGATATGTACAGTCCGATAGATAAATGTAAGCAGAGAGCTAAAATGAGAGATAGATAGATGGATATGAACAGAGAAATAACTACCTAGCTAACTGAAAAGATATGAACTGCTATATAAATATATCATTTATATATATATATATATATATGTGTGTGTGTGTGTGCGTGTGACTACGTGTGTGTGTGTGTGTGAATGGGCGTACTATATAAGTATCTTGCTAGTTTGCTACAAAAATATAAACAGAATCGGATAGCTAGATAACAAAAAACACCATAGATATATAGATATACACATGCACATATATAACTTTGTTGGTGAAAAGTATAAAATAAATAGGGAATGATCAAGAAAGAAAACCTGAAACAACCTAACAGCTGTGAACTAAGCAGGCTGACGAACATGGTGAATTGTTCTCTGACGTCATTGAACACATTTTGTCGAGTGTTAATTCACGATCTTTTGTGCTCGTATGAATGTGTGATGTTCTTGCTTTGCCTGTTTCTATCTGTGTGTGTGTGTGTGCATTAAATACGATTATGTCTATTCGTCCTTGGGATAAATATAGCCAAGGCTGCTGGAAATATTTTCATGTAGAGGCCGGAAATAAATAAACAATGTTGATTCATTTCCATGTAAGTACAGCCCCAACTTTCTCCCCCTCCAAACGCCTACAATGAAACGCGACAACTGCATACATAGAAAGTTTCAAATAACACAATATTCCTGAACCAATTCTCTCTGATTTTACGCGGTGCTTTACGCTGTTTGCTGGTTGAAGCTTATGAATGCAATTTTAGAGGCATTGACATCTGGAAGGAATCTATGGCTATTTTGATGCGTCTGTAGTTGCTGGGATTTGATGTGACTAGTATCTTAAGCGATTCTCCTTTGTGCAAATTAATTGAAACAGCTGCTTTAGTTTCCTTTCATTCAACAAACGGTCAGTGTTAGACCCTTTTTTCCCTCGGAGTAGCTCATTTGAAGTTGTGTGCAGTAATATGAATCTAGTTTCGGGTTGTATGAGGAAATTTATTTGCCCTTGAAAAAATATTGCCTCATCCATGATTGCATCAGATTTTTATCACGCCCAGCTTTTATTGTCTCGACTGTCGATTAGTTGTCCTACGGTCATTATCTGCAATGGACGTTACTCCAAGGAAGCGTGCGAAAATTGTAACATTGCACGAATACACTGGCAAAGCTTACCAGTGAGAAAATCAAATTAATATAGACTGGCCCTGAAACTCTCCTGATTTAAATTCAATCGATAATCTGTGATCAATCTGCAAGGAACGATTTCGTGGAATGGTCATACAAAGTACTAACATGTGCACTGGATCATATTTCATTTAAGAAATACGAAACAAAAGTGAATAATAACGGAATTATTCGTTTTGTTTCAATTAATTTGAACAATGGTGTAGAGTCCAGCATCGTCAGCAGCATTTTCTAGATGATGTAGGAGAACTGTGGCATTGTTAATAGTGTCTGCATTGATGGCTAAGGTCATCTTCATAGTCAATATCGGTCAACTTTTTTGCACGATATCGACTTGAGAATCTTGGTGATAAAGTAAAACCTAGATGGCGATGTTTATTAAGTGAAATCAAGGGAGATAACAAAGAGAAAAGGTGCAAAGATGTCACCCTGGAGGACTCCTGCTTTAATACTGAAGAAGGTAGTTTGTTTGTCTAGGGATCTAACCAAAGATTTGGTATTTCTGTATAACATTATGGTAGCTATTGTCTCAGATCTTCTCCATTTTCCCAGAATCGTAGGCTTTAGAGAAGCTTTTTTTTTGTGTCCTGACGCCCTCAATAATCGACGGAATAGTCAGAATTTGCCCAACAGTTGATGTATTTTTTTTTCGAAAGTTTCAACCAGCAAAGCTCAATACAAACTGCCTCAGGTGAATCGATAAAATCTGTCGATTTTTTTTCCATACTTAGAAAACAAGATAAATCCTACTGAAAAGGATGTGAACATTTCGTATAGATAAGGCCTAAGCCCCCTTGAACAAAATGGATGTACCCTGGAAATCTGTGCTATTAGACAACCTCAAACGGATCTTCTTTCACGCCACTGTAGAGGCGGTTTTGATGTCTGGCACCACTGCTTGGATATTAATAAATTATTAACTAAAAACCTGGAGTCTAAGCTTGAAGGAACCTGCACTCGGGTGCTGAGAGCTATAATTAACATCTCTTGGAGACAACATTCAACTAAATGACAGCTCTATGGACCTATCCCTGATATTTCTACAAACTTACGTGAATACAGAATGTGCTTTGCAAGACACTGCTGGCAAGCAAAACAAGAAAAAGTGATCTACTGCTCTGGACACCTAACTAAGGCGCAAGATGAGTTAGTCGACCAGCAACCTCCGACATTGACCAACTATGTAGAGACACAGAATGCCACGCTAATGACCTCCTGACCTCGATTCAGGACCGTGATGGTTGGCGTAATAGACTTATGAATGCCCAAGCTAGCTCAATTAAAGAAAAAAAATTCTTTATGGGGAGCTAAAGTAAATTATAATGGTAAAAACCGTTTCCATAGAAGAAACATTCAGCATTCATTGACCGAACAGTTTATTTTACGGTTGTTGAAATTAATTTAAATAAAAAAAAAAATTCTTAAAATAGTTTTTCAGGAAATTTCTTAAAATGTACAGTTATTACATTTTCTAATATTGAGAAAAGTTTCCTATAAGTCTTTTTTTATTTACATTATTCGGACTATTGTCCTCATCTTTGTCGCCATATTTATCACAACATTTCGGCCGTTGTACGCTCCGGCCTTCTTCAGGTGGTTGGAATTTGGAACTGAACCCTTTATTTCGCTCACTGGGGTAGACTGTTCTAGTACCACGTGCCATGTTTGATGGATGTCAGTTATCAGTTATCTCCTGCTAATTTCCCTCTGAAAGTTCTCCACTGCCTTAACCGGGAATTGAACTCACACTCTTTGGGTCCTGTCAGTGGATCTAACTAACGCCTTTATCCACTGTGCCATGTGTCCTTGAGGACATCTGGGTATGAATTTCTGCCCCAGTAAGCGAAATAAAGTGTTCAGTTCGAAATCCCAACCACCTGAAGAAGGCCGGAGCGTACAACGGCCGAAACGTTGTGATAAATATGGCGACAAAGATGAGAACAATAATCTGAATAATGTAAATAATGTACATAATACCTTAGCTCAGAAATATAGACAGACAAATCTTTTTTTTGTTTTTGATATTTTGAAAAATTAAAGGCTTTATTACATCCCTATTAAGTGAAATCAAGGGAGATAACAAAGAGAAAAGGTGCAAAGATGTCACCCTGGAGGACTTCTGCTTTAATGTTAAAGAAAGTAGTGTCTCCGTCTTGGGATGTAACCAAAGATTTGGTATTTCTGTATAGCATTATTATGGCAGCTAGTGTCTTGGAGGGGATGCCACATACCAGAAGCATCTCCATTCTTCCTCTATGAACAGAATCGAAGGTTTTAGAGAAATCTACAAAAAGTAAGGTGGCCTGTAGATTCTTTACTTTGACACTCTCAATAATACACTGAACAGTCAGGATTTGTCCAACAGTTGATCTATTTAAGCTGGATGGGACCTACACTCGGATGCTGAAAGCGATACTTAACGTCTATAGGGAGACAACATCCAACTAAATGACAGCTCTATGGATCCATCCCAGATATTTATACTACGTGAACGCAGGAACACAGGACACTGCTGGCGAGCAAATGATTTACTGCTCTGGACACCCAGACATGATGGAAGACGGTTTTGTCACCCAGTCATCAGCTCCACGGTGACACGTATTGTCATCCCTGCATAATACAATTTTTTATTTCAGATGGCTGAGACGACCTCCTACAGTTTGGAACAGAAGCAGGGGTGGCAATACTTTCGCCCCCTCCCCAATGTACATTAACCAACTATATAAAAACACAGGATGCCACCCTAATGACCTTCCGACCTTGATGCAGAACCGTGATGGATGACGTGACAGACTCGTGATTGTCAAACCTATCTTGAATGAAGAGAAGATACGCTGCTAAATTTTGTAAATATTTGTACGATATGACTAGACGGATATGTTGCTTTCTATCAAACATTATTATCAGTCACTAATTTAAACGGAAAAATGTCTAGAGCACATAACGATGAAAGAGGGCTTGGAAAAAGTGAAACTCACAGGACATATTGAAAGTAAGAGGGACAGAGGAAAGCAGTTCATCAACCCCCCTTGCCTAACGGGCTTATGTAAATGGTTGGCAGAATAGGGATTAGGGAAGACAGCAAAAAGACAACCTTTACTAAAGCCTACAACGTAGGGGAAATTGTGGAGAGCTATGATCGCTTTCCTCCACGTTATGTACCCTAGTAATTTCAATTGACTATTTTTGGTACTACGTGTTCTTTTTGTTTCCGTTTTCTCTAAAGCATTGTCGTTACTCACGTGTTCCATTTATGGCATTCTCAGCATCCTTCTGTAGCACAACATTTTTGTGGCTGCAAGTCTCTTCTTCATCTGTAATGAGATTGTCAAATATTCCCCGCTATACCGCGATCGGTTTCAGGGACGAATTTTACCCTCATTGCTAAAACTTTCCCTAGATATTTAAATTTTTGTACTTGTTTCATTTTAGTACCTCAAAGTATATATATATATATATATATATATATATATATATATATATATATATATATATATATATATATATATATACACATGTAATATATTTTCTGTTTATACGTCCTCTTAATTGATACAATTTATTTAAGTAAAAGCCGTCTTTTTTTTAAGTAAACAGTATTAATTACATTTACCGGCCCGAATTTTCGAGAAATTTCGTAGAAAATATGTGTTCTCGAACAGGAATCGAACCTTTGTCATATACGGAGCCGTCATTTGATCTGATTAATAGCGTATATTCAAACACCAATTTTCATAGATTTTTTTATTTATAACTTTATAATCAATAATTAGACAGCACTGAAAGATTATAATTTAACAAGTGATGCCAAACTCTCCA